GGCTTACAGAGTGAGTCCTCAACCTGTAGGATCTGACACTCTTTCCACTAAATTGAATTAGAGGACATCCACCTGGAATTGCTTGCTTGGTAGTGGGGAAAAACCCCACAAATTTGGTCACAGAAGCATTCTATATATATATATTTTTTTTGAGACAGAGTCTTGCTTTGTTGCCCAAGCTAGAGTGAGTGCCGTGGCATCAGCCTAGCTCACAGCAACCTCAAACTCCTGGGCTCAAGCAATCCTGCTGCCTCAGCCTCCCAAGTAGCTGGGACTACAGGCATGCACCACCATGCCTGGCTAATTTTTTTCTATATATATTAGTTGGCCAATTACTTTATTTTTATTTATAGTAGAGACGGGTCTCATTCTTGCTCAGGCTGGTTTCGAACTCCTGACCTCGAGCAATCCACCTGCCTCAGCCTCCCAAAGTGCTAGGATTACAGGCATGAGCCACTGTGCCCAGCTCCTTCTGTATTTTTTTTTTTATTTTTAAAAAACATTTAACTTTTTTTGAGACAGAGTCTCACTCCATTGCCCAGGTTAGAGTGCTGTGGCATCAGCCTAGCTCACAGCAACCTCAAACTCCTGGGCTGAAGAGATCCTACTGCCTCAGCCTCCCGGTAGCTGGGACCAACATGCCCGGCTAAGTTTTTCTATATATTTTTAGTTGTCCAGCTAATTTCTTTCTATTTTTTTAGTAGAGACAGGGGCTCGCTCTTGCTCAGGCTGGTCTCAAACCCCTGACCTCAAGTTCCTGGGCTCAAGCTATCCTCCCATCTCAGCCTACCCTCTCAGCCTACACTCTTGCTAGGATTACAGGTGTGAGCCACCACGCCTGGCTAAGCCTTCTGTATTGATTGTTGTGATGTGAGAGCAAAGAAAAACAGTTTCCCTCCCCTCAATAAGGCATTAAAGGGATTTGCAGAAATGTATAACAATGCCATTGTTCTCACTACATATTTCTTGGTTTTGGTAAATATAATTATTTTTCACAAAAAACGAAAATGTTAGGTTGGCATGTAATGGTTTTACTATTGCCATTTTATAATGAATAATTAAAATGTTTTTAATTTAAAATTTCGGCCAGGCATGGTGGCTCATGCCTGTAATCCTAGCACTCTGGGAGGCCAAGGTGGGCGGATTGCTCAAGGTCAGGAGTTCAAAACGAGCCTGAGCAAGAACGAGATCCTGTCTCTACTATAAATAGAAAGAAATTGATTGGCCAACTAATATATATCTCAAAAAAAGGGGGGGGGGTAACTGCACTGAGTTACTCCTCTGGTAAACAACCAAGTCAACACATTGTCTGGGGCAGACAAAGGGCAAACATCTCTGACTCCCAATTTGCAGCACTTTCTTGAGTGCCTAGGGACTCAGAGATTTCTTCAGAAACAGCCACGTTTATCTACCGTTGTCCTGAGACATTTTAGGGCCCTGATCCTACTTCCACTCTTCCTTTTCTTTCTTTCTTTTGTTTTTTTTTTTTTTTTTTTTTTGTTTTGAGACAGAGTCTACTCTGTTGCCCGGGCTAGAGTGCTGTGGCGTCAGCCTAGCTCCCAGCAACCTCAAACTCCTGGGCTCAAGTGATCCTCCTGCCTCAGCCTCCCCGTAGCTGGGACTACAGGCCTGCGCCACCATGCCTGACTAATTTTTTCTATTTTTAGTAGAGAGGGTGTCTCACTCTTGGTTGCAGTATTGTCCTCAAGTGATCCTCCAAGTCTCGGGCTCCTAGAGTGCTAGGATTGATTACAGGTGTGAACCACCGCGCCTGGCCTACTCCCACTCTTCCTACTGGCATCTGTGCAATACACTATGGGCCCAGAGAACATTTTATCCTCTTCATTGTAAGTCGACCGTAGTGTTCAGGCTAAGAACACCATGACATTATTCCCACAGCTCCTAGTTCTCTGACGCCACCATTACTGAGCCAAGAGCCACAGAATCATTGGAGGATTGGAGCAGTAGGGCATCGTGGAATTTCTGAGAGAAGAAGGGACTTTTCAGAGGCAGCTGCAGTTCAGACGCGTGGCTATTGCCCACGGTTACGTCAGAGTCTGGTCTAGGACCGGGGCCTTCAGGGTACCACACCAGCTTGTTGTTTCTCCTTTTCCCGGTCATCCTGCTGCGGGAGCGACCTATTCTCAGCTCAGACAGAACACTGCGCGGTTGCCCAACTTG